TTAGCAAATTACAAGATTAATTAACAACAAAAACGTGTCATATTAACAAATTAGGAAATAGTGCAATGCATAATACCTACCTCATTTTTTAAATTTAAATTATCTGACGCATTCAATGCAGATTTTGGATCATCACCACCCTGATCACTTGCTGGAACTTTCGATGCAAATTCTGATTTTGTTATCTTTCCTTTACCACGTGCAGAGGACACATTTTCTATATGCTGGCCAACAAGGCTATTTGAAAATAAAAGAGACATTTAAACAAATTTTAATTAAATAATAAATTTATACAATCTAAACTATTACAGTTATCACATACAAAGTAAACTGAAAAAGGAGCACAACAGGGATCAGTTTTTTCTCAATCAGAAGGTGGAATCAAGCATCCACCAAAGTCCACTTGAATATGACACTGCTGTTACTACAGAGTCATACAAAGGCAACCGCTGCTCACACCCACCTTTCATGGGGACTGACAAAGGAAGGCTGGTCGGTGGGAACACTGACATCCAGGGCCTCACCAACTTCACAGTCGGTTTCAGGTTGCTCAGTTTCGTGTGGCTTGGCTATAAGAATAGTACCAGATTTTTCTATTTCACTAAAAATAGAAACAAACAAACAAAAACAAGCTGATAATTTTATTCACATTATGTAGAATAAGTTAAAAATTATACCAGTGATTTCCAAAACATAATCTAAGCCAGAAAAAAATACTTTTCCCTACAACACTTCAATTTTACTAGAAAGTCATGTTCAATATAATGAGAAAATAAGGTACTGTTCAGATATATATTACCCAGCCTTGAATTCTTTCTGGAACAAACATTTAAAACTTTTAAATACTAAGCACGTCTTCTGTTCCTTTGTCCCATATTGGGACAAACTCCTAAATGGTAACTGGAACATCTCTGTGCACAGTTCCTTCAACCTGACCCTTACATTCTTAAGAAGAATAGGTGTTTTATTTTTAAAGTGCTTATGGTTAAAAAAAAAAAAAAGGTAATGATAATATTAACTGACACATATATTCTATGTGCCAGACTTTGTCCTATGCACTGTACATATATTAATTCATTAGATAAAGGAAATCTTTAAAGTAATATTAAGGAAATTTTATTATATTTTGTTCATTGTACTGTTGCTTGAAGGAGCTGGGAGAATTACATAATTGGTTTTCTAAATTAAGAAAACCTTAAGCCTACATGTTCTGAATATTTATTATCAAGTTTGAAAAAGGAAGGTATTCACACAAACACATAATTATATATTGGAATGCCATAGTGATACTTAATCTGACACTTGAATTTTTGATAATTATAGAAACAATTACTCAAGTAAGTATTGTGTTTCTTAAATAACTAAAACCTCACTTTACTTAAATGATACAGAGATTTCACTGCTGGGATCTAATCAGTTTCACCACGTTGGACAGCAAAATAAATAATCATTATAAGATCATTATACTAAAAAATAATAAAAAGACAGGCATTATAACTTAGGTCTGCTATATTTCTATCTAATGAGATTCTTTTTTCTTTTCTCTCTAATCACTTACTCAAGTTTTGAGATTGGAATGATCTCTGAGGTAGATGAACTGGAAACATTTTCAATGTTTTCACTGCCCACTAAAGCGGAAGAATCTTCATGTAGATCAATTGTAGAGTGTGTCTCAATCACAGGTGGACTTAACGTTTTTGACTCCATATTCTGTTTTAAAGAAATTTATATTAAATATTGAGATTAATAAATTATCTCTTTAGCTGAACAGGACTATATAAAAAGTATATCTCAAAAGTGGCAATATAAAGAATGTTCACCAAAAGAGTGAAAGTCCTTTCTTCCAATATTACCATCCTAAGAAATATAGTTCATATTAAAATTCACAAACTAGGACAAAGGAGTTTATCTTTTGTCTTTCCTATTTTTTATTTTGGACCTACAAATATTTCCCTCTTACTGTAATTAAATAATCCTACTAGCAACATAGAAATCCTATGTAAATGTACAAAATAATACAACACACAGTTCTTACCCCCTGAGCAGTTAAGAAGATAATGAGTATCAAAAACAGGACAAGGCATGTACAAGTAACATTAGGAGGCCATTAGGAATCTTGCTACTCCTTCAGTCCTGGGTGTTCTGAGCCATTTGCCCCTCCCAAACACAGTCTGAAATCTACCTAATATCTACTCATGTTTGAAAACCCTACCAGCACCTCCTCCCCCACAGCCAACCCTAAATATAATTAGCCATCCCTCTTCCTCTAGGCTCCAATGTTCCCTGTACAATTTTATCACAACATCTATACATCTCTTTTTCCTCAACTCTTCTATAAACACCTTGATTAAAGACTATATTATCTTGATCTTCATATTCTCAATACCTAGCAGCACCAGACATTTAATGCTTACTAAATGAATAAATATCAAGTGAGAGGTGCTCATGCTCAGTTCAGAGAAGAGACTATGGACTAGAAAAACTAGGATCCTTAAGAAAAGGAGGGCCAGTATGTGAGCAGAAAGAAAATACAAGGCATAGTCAGAATACAAAATGTGATCATGTGGCAAATTATTTACACTGAAATGAAAAATTCACAGTGGAATGCAAATCGTTTGCATTTTATGGTGGAGGCCTTAAGAACAAGGACTATTATTACATAGTAACAAATATTGTATGTATTATCATTTCAACATGTATTTAATGTAAAATTTGAGGTATTTGCACTGTTTTATAAATTAAATCTGATGTATATTTTGTAATTAGAGCAAATCTGTTTCGACTAGCTGAATTTCCAGGGCTCAACAGTCACATGTAGCCAGTGGCCATGATACTGAACAGCAAGAGTCTATAAGATGTGCAATAAGCAACTTCAAAGTGTTTGAGCAAGAGTATGCCTGATGAAAATTCTGGAAAATGAACAATGGTAGGACTGTTCAGGAGAATCATGTAATTAGAAGGGATAGAGAGATGACTTTTCTCTCTCAGACACAAATCTTTGACAAATGTCTTCCAAACACAACAAAACGAAACTTACTACATCTCCTTAAATAACCCAATTAAGTCATAAAATAGCTCTAGCTGAATTTAAAAAAGAGAATTCTCCCTCATTTTGAGCTGAAATTTTATTTCTGTTAATATGTGAGATTGTTTTTCCTTAGTCCCTCTTCCAGCTCAAATATCCCCAGTTCCTTCAGCCATGTCTGATATTAAATGGTTTCCAGATGCTTCAGCATTCTGGTCAGCTTACATTCTGGTCTAGTTTTTAGTACCTTTATAAAACCTGGGGTACAAAATTAAAAATAATATTTGGGACATAGGAGAGAAAAAAGGAAAACATTTTAACCTATTATTAATTCATATTCTACAAAAGCGATTAAACTTTGTTATCAAAATACTGTGCTCTACACACAAATACTTTTTGTTGTCAGAAAAAAATTTCCTAACACCTGAAAATCTGAAGAGAGAAGATACATTATAATGAGCAAAAATGAAACCTAAGAAGAAATGAGCACTTACACCCAAACTTCCACCACAGAGAAAATGGTCTCACTTATTATTCAATCTGTAATTGTGCATTTTCTCAAAAGCAGTAATAGTCTTAGCAGTTGAATAGTACTAAAGCCAGTTGAATAGTTCTTCAAGAAAAGAATCAATACCCAATACTTTAACCAAACATATTTCCTATTTTATGAAGTAGTTAGAAAAGGCATATAATTAAGAGTCAAAGCAGCATAACTTACTTGTACATCCACAACATAGTCATCTTTTAACTTATGTTCTTCTGGAAGAACAGGTAAGTTTGAACCCACTTTTCCTGATAATTCGGCACTGACAGGTCCCTCTTGTTCATCCTATATTGCAACAAACAAAAAGCTAACTGATAAAAATTGTTTCACACAACAGTCCTGAAGCAATATTAAAGACCATCTCTTCCTATATTTTACAACCCAAACATTGTCTTGAAAGCATTTGACTCTAAAAGCTTTTAACTGTTTGCACATTTATCTATCTTCCTGCACTCCCCTCCTTGTACTCCCCTAATATATACACTAAATGAGGTCATCGTGCATTGGGCCTCTAGTAAATATATAATATCTTGGCGATAGCTTTATTTCAGAATTACCCAAGTAACTTCTCATATTACAGCGAGGGAAAATATTATAAATCTCCACCACCAGAAATTATGTCATATAATTTTAAACTACTTTTACTCTGAATATGTTGAGGAAGTCTTAGAAAGCTGACACACAGATTACATTGTCAACTTTAAAGTACCTTTTTCTGGAATTGTACATCTTCATTTTCTAGCGCGCAACTGTCATCTTGAGAGTAATATGATGAAGCTGAAGCTGAAGAACTCTCTTTACAACACACCGGCCAACTGGGAAGCCTGTGAAATGTCCATTACCACCACCACCAAAAAAGAAAAAAGGAAGAAAAAGAAAAAGGAAAAGATATTAAGCCCACATATTCTCTACTATGCACTAGAATTTGGGTCAATAAACACAAGGATGATTCCTATCTAATGTCCTTAAGAATTTAATTTAATGATAAAGACAAATGTACCTAAAACAAGGAATTTTTATTTAAAGCCCTAGTAAGAAAATATACTGTTATCAGCATTCCAATAAGGGATTATTAATTTCATGAAGGTAAAACAGAAAAGACTTCACAAAAGGAGTATCTGATTATCATCCCACAAGGAACAGGGAAAACTGTCAAAAAGCTAACTAACCTCAGAAAGCACCAGATGCCTATGATAGTCTAAATTCTACCAAACAATTAAGAACAAATAACTCTAAAGCTACCTATGTTATTTCAAAGCATACTGGGCTTATAGGGGAACATAATAGGAACATCAAAAATTAACAGAAGTAGCACACACAAATGAATACCACAGTTTATTCCGCTTATGGAATCAGACAATCATTAAAGAAGAAAGTATCTAGGAACACAGCAAAAAATAATATTATAATCAAGCAGATATTCAGAAGTCATTCAATATAATAAAATTTATTTATTTAGTTTTGCCATGAAAAAACATTAGGAAAAATATTTTTATCTCCACAGGCACTTAAATCTGATAAACTTAACACATCTCACAAGTCAATAAAATAAGTAGATATTTAACATGGGAAATATATATATGCATAATACACAGGCTTAAAAGCCAGTATCACACTTAGTGAAGAAACCTAAAAATACATTATTTAGATCTGAAACAAGACAAGAATGTCCATTATCACTATTATCCTATCTAATAAAAAGTAATATGCAGATTGACCATCACTCCAATACACAAGATCAAGATAGCTGCCCCTATGTGGTCAAAGATCCTGCCCTCATGTGGACACAAGATGGCCACCACAAGACGGCCACCACAAGATGGCCAACAGGGGAGGGCGGTTGGGAGGGACCAGGCTTGTAAGAGAGGGCAGTTGAGAGGAACCAGGCCTGTAAGAGAGGCAGTTGGAGGCAATCAACCCTGCAGGGGAGGGCAGTTAGGGGTGACCAGGCAGGCAGAGAAGGGAAGTTGGGGGCAAACAGGCTGGCAGGGGAGCATTTAGACATCAATCAGGCTGGCAGGCAGAAGAGGTTAGGGGCAATCAAGAAGGCAGGCAGGCGAACAATTGGGAGCCAGCAGTCCTGGATTGTGAGAGGGATGTCTGACTGCCTGTGGCAGTTAAACATCTTGAGGGGTTCCAGATTGGAGAGGGTGCAAGTTGGGCTAAAGGACAAACCCCTCCCTACCCCCCCCCCCGCCCCTGTGTACAAATTTCGTACACCAGGCCTCTAGTTACATTATAGTAGGATAAAAGGTATATTAAGAGACTACACATGTATTCATCTATTTTAATGAGAAAACTTGTTATTTACCTATAATTTCCACAAAAACATTTTAGGTGTGGTCTTAATACAAGATTCTTTAAAAAATACTACAAGTACAAAAGGAATGAATGACCCTGAATAAAGTAAATGCCTAGATTCAAGAGGCATATTTTAAGGACTTCAATTTTTTCTTAAATCTGACTCCTTTCATTTTAAAAAGTACATTTCTAAATAGTTTTTTTCTTGAAGGTTTTCAACATGAATGTATAGTGACTGAAGTTTTTCTTGTAGTGACAACCTAGAATCTAATATTGCCAGACATTATGATGTTTTAAGAGTATGTTACAACTATGCTTCTAAAAATTATCATTAAGGTTTAAATGTTAGGATAGAAGGAGTATCAATTAGTTCTTACCAAAGGGAACAGGAGAAAGACTCAGGAATTTTTTTTTTTTTTTTGATTTTTTGAGAATTTAGCAACTAAACTGAGACTTAAGTGACAAGGAAGACTTCATTGAGAGAAAACAATCTTTGTCTCAGGCCATACCACCTTGAATGCACCCGATCTCGGAAGCTAAAAAAGGTCGGGCCTGGTTAGTACTTGGATGGGAGAGAAAACAATTTTTAATGTGAAAGTGATTGCTGGTACACCATTTTTAATGACATCAATGCCTCAGAATGATAACATTTTACAACTGCCTAACAGAAATACTGAACTGTCTTCAACAGTTTTTTATTTCTATAATTTATCAAAGAAATATTATAATTCAAAATTTATTACTATTTTATTTCTACCTAGTAAATTTTGAAATATAATTCCACCTAATAAATATTGAAATAAAATTCAGAAATAAATTTTGAAATATAATAAATTTCAGGACAAGTTAATATGCAATGAAGGATATGCTGATATGCAAATAAGCCAATAAATGTCAGGTAGGAGGCAAAACTAAACTGGGGTCCATCAAACTTTCAAATGAGTTAATATTATTTCCCTCTGAGTTATATAGAAGAAACTATATAAGCACTTAAGGCTTTCAAGTAGGTACCAGATATTATGTTACATGCAGGGCTTTGTTAGGCATAATTTCCAACTCATTAAACATCGAAGTTATAAAGACAAAACATTATAAAGTATCAATTTTGCCCTAACTCGTTTGGCTCAGTGGAGAGAGCACTGAAGTATCCTGGGTTAGATTCCAGTCAAGAGTACACACCCGGATTATAGGCTCAATTCCCATCAGGGGGCATGCAGGAGTCAGCCCATAAATGATTCTCTCTCATCATTGATGTTTCTATCTTTATCCCTCTCCTCTCCTCTCTGAAATCAATAAAAATATATATTTTTAAAAGTATCAATTTTAATTAAGTAGATAAAATTTAAGTTAATTGAAAAAACAGTCACTAAGAGAGAAATGTATTATCTATTGGTAAAAAGATATAATGATTATAAATACATATGCACCTAACAAAATCACTTCAAAAAATATGCAAAATTACTGATAGCTAAAGGTGGAAAGAAAATAGTAAAAAATTATGATTGCCTATTTTAAATTATGTCTTACAAAATAATAGATGGATAAAACCTAAGAGAACATGAAATTTGTTATTATTTATAGGCAACAAGCTTGCCCAAATATACAGGACTTCACAACTAATTCAAATTAACATCCTTTTAAAACACTATATAAAATATTACCCAAATAATGACCATCTACTAAAGCACATGTGTCAAACACAAGGCCCGCTGGCCAAATCCGTCCCGCCAGGCCTTGCAACGTGGCCCGCACCGCGCTGTCATCACTGTACTCCGCTGCGTTTCCATCACAATGACAGTTTATGACTGTTCAGTAAACCATTCGGCCCGCGATTTAGGCTGGATTTTAGATTTTGGCCCCTTCTCTGATTGAGTTCGACACCCCTATACTAAAGCTTCAAAAGAAGACTCAAATTCCAAAGATCAAAATCTAGTAAACTGTACTCTCCAAGCACATTGCAACAAACTTTGAAACAGAAAGATAACTAACAACATTTTAAGCCTGGCGAAAGAATCACGTAGCAGAATAATCCTTCATTTTGAGGAAACAATAAGGAACATTATGAAATATTACAGCGGAAGACTTACAGGTCAAAATTGGTGAGATATAGATAAAAGAACAGGAAAACTATGCTTTTGAAGGCAATTGAAGATAAATACTGAAAATGACAAAAGACACTGTAAATCCAAAGAAACAAGGAAGGCTAAAACGACAGAAATTGCTAAAATAGAGAAGAAAAATGCAAAAAAAAAATTTAAGAAAACCAAAAGTTGGTCCTTTGAAGAAAATATTTAAAAAGACAAACTGGCAAAACCAATTAAAGATAGTTGAGGATATGAATTAAACTATGGTATAAAAACATGAAAGAACTACAGACAAAACCAATTATTTTAAATTATAAAATATTACAAACTATATATACCAATATACTTTAAAACTTAGGAAAAAAATAGGTGTTTCTGGGAAAGTAGCAACATTGGCGCAAAGTATACAAAACTTGGAATATACTAATAAAGAAATTTGAGTGGCTTAACACCTCATAAAGAGGAGAGACTCACAACCCAGGCTTTTTTTTTTTTTTTTTTTTTAATATACTTTTATTGATTTCAGAGGGAAAGGGAGAGGGAAAGAGAAACATCAGTGATGATAGAGAATCACTGATTGGCTGCCTTCTGCATATACCCTATTGGAGATTGAGCCTGCAACCCAGGCATGTACCCTTGATTGTAATCGAACCTTGGACACTTCAGTCCGTAGGCCAATGCTCTATCCAATGAGCCAAACTGGCTACGGCTATTTGGAAATAATTTCGAACTTCCAAAAGAATTGACATTATAATACATAGAACATCCATAAACTCTATCCATTATCAACCTATTGTTAACATTTTACTCATTTTTTCCCATCATTTGCAATTTGCTTATGGCATGCACCCTTGCTTCCCCTCCCTCTCTCCCTTTCTCCATATAATTTATTTATAAGTATACGGTATGAGCATTATTTCCACAAAATGAGGATATTCTCTTACATATAGTACAGTTATCAACTTCAGTAAATGTTACACTGACACAATGCTTTATCATCTGTATGCAGTTTTGTCACTTAGCACAATAATGTCCTTATAGCATCCCCACCCACCACCTCAAGTACAAATTGAGTCTAGTCCAGCATTTGTCATCAGCATTCTTTAATCTGGAATAGTTCATGGCCTTTATCTTACGTAGCACTGATATTTTTTAAGAACATAGTGAAGTATGGTAGCAACCATACTTGGGTAAAAACTGCTGTTTAATATTTTAACCTTGCTGTTTTGGATTCTGTACTCATTTAAAAGTTATTCTGACTTTCTGAATTTATGTATGCTATCCCAATACTCCGTTGATGATGGTTTGAATGTCCCATTGATTGTGATCTCACTGGTTACTGAAGCACATTTTTCTGGGAACTAAGACAGATAATAGAGTTTCAGTTGACTCAGTGGTCCCAGAATAAGAGCACAAATTATCCCAAATTGCCTCAGTTGCTACAGATAGTGCATTCCTGTTGACTCAGTGATCCCAGAATCTGGACAGCACAATTATTCTAAATTGTCCAGGTGATCCCAGTTTTTCTGTTGATACTTTAGATAACTTGCTCCGTTTCACTTTGGTAAAATCTCGAAACAGGTTCCTCATTCCAGATCCAAAGATGTAATCGATACCTTTGTGATATTCTGCCAATATAAGCCAAAGCGGCAAGCTGTTTGGGGCTGTGAGGTCTGGAGAGCTTTTGCTCTCTCGTATGCCACCAGCCTTTAATAAATGACACCATAATTCAACTTTTTTGAGGCGTCCTTTGTAAGATGGAGGTTACACCACAACAAAAGTCCTTTTATTTTTAAACTAGAGGCCCGGTGCATGAAATCCATGCACTCGGGGCAGGGGAGGGAGAGTCCCTCAGCCCGGCCTGTCTGATGGCTTAGGCCCACTCCCCATGGTCAGTGCGTGTCATAGCAACAGGTTGTTCCGCCATTCCGCCAATTTGCATATTAGCCTTTTATTATACAGGATAATATAATCCTTATTTGATGTTTATCTGATGTTTCCTCATGACCAGGTTCAGGTTATATATTCCTGGCCAGAATCCTTCATTAGTGATCTGTGTCTTTCCAGGTAATACATCCAGAAGCATACAATATCCATCTGTTTCAGCATATGCAATTCCAATGTTAAGTGGAATGAGAAATAAAAACAGTCCATAAAAAGCCTTGTACAAAAAGGTCCACAGTAGTTTTACTCCTAATAGACAAAGACTGGAAGCAGTTGAGATGTCCAATAACAGGAGAATAAACACACTGCAGTATAGTCATACAATGTACTACTACTTGCAAATTACTGATAAATGAAACAACATGGATAAATCTTGGAAACTTTACCCTGCATGAAAGAACCCAGATATAAAAATAAATACTGTGTAATTCCACTTAGATGAAATTCCAGAATTAGCAAAACTAATCCATGGTAACAGAAATCAAATCACTCTTTGTGTTTTGGGGGATTTGCTAGAAAGCGACATAAGAGAACATTCTGGGGTAATGGAAATGTTCTGTATCTTGATGGGGTGTGGGCTACACAGATGTATGCATTTGTCAAAACTGATCCAACTATGTATAGTTAATATATGTAGGTTTCACTATATGTAAATTTCAATTAAAAAATATAACAAAAAAGATTTTTCTCCTCTGTAATAACCTGGAAGATATACTATTAGCAATAATAAAAGTATAAAATAACTTCAGAATTAACCTAAGTAACACCACCACTTATAACTCTAGTAACAATCATAAAATGAAAAGATAAATGAAGAATTAGTATTAATACAGATGGAATGCTGGTGACAGCAATGTAAAGACAATAATTCTCTCCAAAGTAATTCATCACTCAAATATAAATCCTATCAAAATATTTGAAGAATCCTATTGCTCTAAATACAATATGAAAAAAAATGACCCAAGAATAACCATATTAACCAGAAAGCCTGAAGGTAACTAGTTCACCTTGCCAGATGATTAAATTTGTTACAAAACCACTCTAATTAGACTACAGTACTGGGATAGCAAAAGACAGGCAACTGGAACAGAATACTCCCAAAAGCATTCCTTGGCATAAAGTCTCTCTTTAGAAACAACCTACACACAGTGGTCAATAAATACTTTGGAGGTATCAATGACACGAGGCCTTCCTGAAAGTATCTGCTAGAATTCATTTTAATGATGATTCTACTAACTAAATCAAGTTAAAAAAAAAAAAGTGTTTAGTAGGAAAAGTAGGGGAAAAAGAATGATATCAATAGTATATCCATTATGTAAATTCTAAAACCAACAAAACGTTACTGTGGAAAGAAACACACATCTAAATACATACATAAAGGTTGATTGAAAAAAATGCATCGAATATATTCCAGGGTAAATGCCTAAAATGGGGGTAAACAGTAGTGAAACTATCACTCCT